TCCACCAGTGTGGCTTGTTTAGTTTAGTGAGGAACCAGACTCTGCCAACTGCATGCCACAGCTGCATTCGTAGCCTGTGCCTTAATAAAGCTGCTCTAATAGAGGGGTAGCGCATCCTGACAAGCTCAAAGTGGCCATCAGGATGCGCTACCAGCTTAAACAATGAGGTCAAATTCATGATTAAGGTGGGGAATTAATGACAACAGAATGTCAGAAGGCCAGTTTAATGCCTCATCTGAACGACGCTCCTTTTTACAGGTGCCGGACTAACGCTTTTTCAGAAGGTTGCTTCATTTGACATTCTGAAGTCCGATTCGTTATACTAAGACTTTTGCACCCATACAAGTCAGGGAATGAGCACCCCCTGCTGGCTGGACTAAAACTAGCTCCAGCAGCAAGCTAGTTTCACGGCATACCAGCCATCAGAATGTGCTAAAAGCTTCTATAAGAAAACAAAGTCAAATTCGTAATTGGGGTGGGGAATTCATGACAACAGAATGTCAGGAGGCCAGTTTAATGCCTCATCTGCAGGATGCTCCTTTTCACAGTCTAAAGTCTGTATCATTACACTAAGACTTTTGCACCCATTCAAGCCAGGGAATGGTCACCCCCTGCTGGCTGGACTAGAAGTAGCTGCAGCAGCAAGCTACATTTTCACAAATGGTCTCCCACCGGTTTACTGACCAGGCTCTGGCCTGCTTAGTATTAGTGAGGAACCAGAACTCTGCCTACTGCATGCCACAGCTGCATTCGTAGCCTGTGCCTTAATAAAGCTGCTCTAATAGAGGTGTAGCACATCCTGACAAGCTCAGTGCGGCCATCAGGATGTGCTACCAGCTTAATGAGGTCAAATTCACGATTAAGGTGGGGAATTACTGACAACAGAGTGGCCAGTTTAATGCCTCATCTGAACGACGCTCCTTTTTACAGGTGGCGGTCTATCGCTTTATCAGAAGTTTGCTTCGTTTTACATTCTGAAGTTCGATTCATTATACTAAGACTTTTGCACTCATACAAGTCAAGGAATGAGCACCCCCTGTTGGCCGGACTAAAACTAGCTCCAGCAGCAAGCTAGTTTTTCACAACGGCCTACCAGCCATCAGAATGTGCTACCAGCTTCAAAAAGAAAACAAAGTCAAATTTGTAACTGAGGTGGGGAATTCATGACAACAGAATGCTAGGAGGCCAGTTTAAATGACACGGGATGTTTCACCAATTGCAGAATGTATCACACATGCTCTAATGCCTGCAGACACATTTAGTTTGCGTCTGTGAAGAATTAGAGACATTTAGCAAATCCAGTTGAACAAAGAGCCTCATAATGCTTCCATATGCAGCCATATGGAGAGCATTAGCTCTATACGGCAGAAAGTCGTTTTGAGACATTTTATGTGTTTGGAGGTTAACCTTCATGGTAAATGACCATGGGTAACCAGCTCCACAAACATCCATAAAACTGTGACACTGTTTTTCCAGCACCTTTGCCAAGCATGTGTCACGAGTACAGCAGTCTTCTGTCTACAGGTATAATCTACTTTTCATTAAGAGCCCCACTGGCCTGCTGATAGGAGCAGGTGTATGTGTGGGTTTAGCTGTACGGTTATGCGTGTGGAAGCGTGTACAAGCGTAATCATAAGTGAAGGTTTCAGACCAGCGGCCTGTAAAGGTGGGGTTGTCGTACCTGGTGTGCAATCTGGGCGCTCGGCTTTACCTGCTGTTAAGAGCAATTTGCGCTCCCTGAAATCAAGCATCGAAGTACGTTGGCTAATATGATTTTAATCCTCCTTGACCTTAAAAAAACAGCATGGTCTCGGTTTTGATGAAGTAATACACAAGACCCCATTGTTTCTGAGTCAGAGGAGACGCAGATGATCCTCCATATGTAGGTGTCAGACATCCAAAGAACTCTTACATGTTGGACACCTACATATGAAAAATGTAACAAACAAAAATGTAACTATGGTAACTCCAAACATCTGTAAAAAATACCAGAGTTTGGGTTAAAGCATACCTATGCCTAATTTTGCTTATTCCCAGTGTGCTGTCATGTATATTATTCATTTACATATGATATTCATTTGCATGTATAATTATTTATTTAAAATATGATATACTGTATTGCAACTACTTTTTTTTTTTCATGTCAAAGGGGTTTGTGTTCCACAGATGAAAGTGAGTCATACAGGGGTTCGCATAGTTTCCCATAGCGACCATAGTTGCTTTTGGTAAACGCACCCCAGATTTGGAGCATGAGGGGGAGAAAATGATGATAGAAATTTCACTTTTGGGTGGACTATACCTTTAAGTGACATTTAGAGACAGACAAATGCATAGTTTAGGGCAAACATATATATAATTCAAGCAAGTAATATATTTGCGCTTATAATAGTTATATACTTACTTCATTATTAGCACCACCTGCAGTATCCTAACTATGATTTATTAGGGAAAACTTTAGTTACCATGGTAATTTGAAGAGGTTATTGGGAAGAGTAAAGGGGGAAAAAGAAAGAAATCAGTACCATTGTGGACAGAATTATGTAACAAAGCAATACAAGCCAGAAATAATGCTTTTAAAAAGGTTAGGAAGATGTTTATATTTGATGACTTTATTTTATATAAAAAAGCACAAGCGAATGTGTGGAGGGTAATTAGAGATGCTAAAAATAATTACTGGAGGAATTATTGTAATTCTGTAGGGGAGGAGGTTAATGTCAGTGAAGTATGGGGTATGTTAAGAAAGATGGGTGGTTTCAAGAGAAATTTTGGAATACCTGTTTTAAATAATGGGGAAGGATTAGCTGTGACTAATGCTGATAAGGCAGAAATATTAGCAGCGGTATTTGTTAAAGTACATAGCAATAATAATACATCAGAATAAATGAAAATAAATAGAGAACAAGGTATAAAGGAACATGCACATATTAGGATGGAGAAAAGGCCTTCTAATGAACATCTTGATGTGGAATTCTCACTAAATGAATTAAAGAGAGCTGTTGGAAGAGTTAAAAAAAAACTTCACCAGGAAAGGATGAGATATGTTATATAATGATCAAAAATGTATCAGATTTTTCTCTGAACTTTTTATTGCGTCTTTTTAATGAAGTGTGGAGATCAGGGAGACTTCCTTCTTCATGGAAACACGGGGTTATTATTCCTGTTTTAAAGCAAGCCAAGAACAAGCATAATGCTGAAAGTTACAGACCTATAGCATTAACGTCTAATTTGTGTAAATTAATGGAACGTATGATTGTGTGTAGATTGAACTATATAGAAAGGAAAGAGATTATTTCACCACATCAGAGTGGATTCCGTAAAGGACGAAGTACATTAGATGCTGTTCTTAGTTTAGAAACAGACATAAGAAAGGCTCAAGTTAATAAAGAGGTGGTAGTAGGCATCTTTTTTGACATTGAAAAAGCATACGACATGCTTTGGAAGGAGGGGCTGTTAATAAAGTTTGAACAATTAGGAATTGAAGGCAGAATGTTTAACTGGATTAAAGATTTTTTACTTAATAGAACTGTTCAGGTAAGGGTTGGGGCTTCATATTCCAGGATATATAAAACAGATAATGGTACTCCTCAAGGAAGTGTGTGCAGTCCAGTATTGTTTAATATCATGATAAATGATGTGTTCCAAAATGTCAAAATAGATAGGAAGATTTCTCTATGCTGACGATGGAGAGATATGGAAAAGGGGTCGTAATGTATCGCATGTGACAAGAGTCATACAATCAGCGGTTAATGAAGTGAAAAAATGGGCTAACAAATGGAGTTTTCGACTATCGGTGACTAAAACTCAACTAGTCTGTTTTACGAAGAGGAATCATATCCCTGAAATAAAAGTTAAGTTATATGGACAAGTACTTGAACAAGTTAAAGATATAATATATCTAGGAATATGGATGGATTCCAGGTTGACCTTTAAGATACATATTCAGAAGTTGGTAGATAAGTGCAAAAAAAGTAATAATATACTACGATGTTTAACAGGAATGGAATGGGGAGCTAGTAGGAAATCTTTACTAAGAATATATAGTGCACTGATTAGGTCAGCAATTGATTATGGATGCATAATTTATGGATCTGCTTCTAAATCCTTGATTAAAAAAGTAGAAACTGTTCAGGCACAATCTTTAAGAATATGTAGTGCAGCTTTCAGATCTTCTCCAATATCAGCCATACAAGTGGAGGTGGAAGAAATACCTATAAGTTTACAAAAATTGCAATTAACTATGAATTATTGGATAAATGTAAAAGGGCGTTCAGAATTACATCCAGTAAAGGACATATTGAAGGATTGCTGGGAATATGGGAAAAATAAAATCAAAAGTTTTGGTTGGACAGCAACTAGAGATGCTACGATTTTGGGTATTACAGAAATCTCAGTTAGTCCCTCTGTTGTAATACCGAATATTCCTCCTTGGTTGCTTCCCATGCCTCAAGTAGATTTTAATCTACAATATATGGTTAAGAATGAGAAAACTATATCTAAGGAGGTTATTGTTCAACAATATCTAGATCAAAATTACTCTTCAATGCTCCACATCTTCACAGATGGTTCTAAAGATCCTACATCAGGAAATTCAGCTGCAGCTGTATATATCCAAAGATTCAAAGTCAACATTCAGAAAAGGATAACTAATTACACTGAACAAAATTATAAACGCAACACTTTTGTTTTTGCCCCCATTTTTCAAAATGGGGGCAAAAACAAAAGTGTTGCGTTTATAATTTTGTTCAGTGTATATATCAGTCTTTACAACAGAGCTAATAGCAATGTTATTAGCTATTCAATGGGTGGAGGAAGTTAAGCCTACAAGGGTAGTCATTTGTTCAGAATAAGTGAACAATCAACATCAATAAAGGATTTAATCTATGAAGTAATTTTAGGTATGTATGATCTCTGTCGGCCTCCAGTGTTTCGGAAACGTCATTGCAGCACTTGAACCTCGCGACTTGCCGTAGTTTAAACATGAATCACATGTATGAGTTGTCAGGAAGAAGAAACAATAGAGGATTTTAGGCCGGAGCTGAGAATGCGAGCCATGGATGCATGATGCCGCTGCGCGAGCGACGTGTCCGCAGGTGACTCACCTGCGCGAACCGGCCGCGTGCTTGCGCTTGTGCAAGCCATGCAGAATAAATTCGTCGCGTCCAGAGCAGTGCGCAAAGAAGCAGCATATGGATCCGGAATGGAAGAGTAGCTGATACCTACACCTGATTCGTGCATGCCATGGGGAACTGCTGGGCTCAATGTTTTGGGCTCTTTAGAAGGGAAGCAAACAGGATACAAAGAGGAGGAGGGTGAGTCATTCATGAGGCTTGTTATCGATGATGAATTTTTAAAAATGGTATCTGTGATCTTTGGCAGCATGATTCGCCGGCTGTCAGGTGCATTGCATTGGAAAACAATCGAACAGCCGTTTAAAAGAGTTGACTATTAATACAACTTTACATTTACATTAAATGCGCAGAGTTTGGGTGAGTAGAATGCAACTGATAGCAGCTCCATGACATTAGTGATGTTTATTACGTGAACGAATCGTTGTTTTGAAACGGTTCTTTCTAATGATTCACTTGATTCAATGTGTGTGTAAATCGCTTGACTCTTTGGAAGAACAGCGACTCATATTGTGATTAAAGTATGTAATTACACATGTTTACTTATTACAACATTTACTGAATACATAAAAATGACATAAACACAGGAACCTTTTCATTTCACACTTATGAGCGATGATTCGAATCCATTTTTAAAACGAACCGACTCGCTTGAATGATTCAGACTTATCAACGCTACTCTAGTTTACGCATTAGTTGATGTCTGATCTCAGGACCTCGCCCAGAGTCCTCTTGTGAATCCGCCCTGGGACTTCATCCTGTGCCATCGTTTGCAATTTATTTATATTCGAATTCGTATAGTAGATCTAAAATAGTACAGTGCATATTTTATACCCACTATTTTTTTTTAGTCTTTGATTATTACTATTATTGTTTGGAGAAGCAAAGTTTCCATATGCTTCTCAGAATAGAATCTCACAATTTTTTAACCACACATAATGATAATATTAAACAATACTGTTACTTAAATCATGTTTTAAAATATTTGAATAAATTCTGCCAGGAGAAAGTGCTACCTCACATATAACCTGCCTGGCCTGATGGCTGGTTACTGCTTGTTTTGTCAATAGGTCGAAGTACTTCAGAAGCAGCACAGCTGGGGAACACTATACCATTGAGGTACATTCATCATAATTTAAAACTGAAGATTATATAAGCTATAAAATATTCTCAACTGCATTTTGAGTGACTTCTGTGCGCTCTGTTACAGTTTGAGAACCTTGTGGAGAGCGATGAGGTGAGGGCACACTTACAGTACCACACTCATGATTTTACAATATTCCACATTTGCTTAGACGTCGTCAACACTTTTGTCTTCTTTTTCAGGGTGAGAGCTCACAAAGCTGCCCCAGGTATGATACTATTTAATCTTGACTCTTTTATTGGTATTTTAGAGTTGGAACGACATGAAAGTGAGTAAATGATGATATGATATTTTTGGGTTCACTAACCCCTTTAAAGGAACTATGGATATTCACTGATGGTGAACCTTTCTTTTCCTGTCAAAGTGGTCGGCTCTTGGCCTGGATAAGTAAAGTGGAACAGATAGTCAAGACTAGCCATTTAGTGACCAAGTTAGGACTGTAATTAGTCACATTCCTCTCAGATTAGTGCTTCTCATAGCATGAGGTCAGATAGATTTTGATTGGTTGATGGAGACTCTGAACTCAACTTTCTCTCCCGTCATTGCTCCAGACCCATCAGCGATGAGGAGATCAGTCACTTGAAGGAGCATCGCTATGCTGCCATCTCAGACAAACAGGCGCTGATTGACGAAAAGCTGAATGAAGAGGTACAGCAGGTCATCAAATGTGCCAAACATGTGCTTGTAAACTAAAATGGATCAATGTCATGTGACTTTTGAATGGTCAAGTTCAAAACATGTTGCCACAAAACAATGTTTACTGTTAAGTTAGAGCTTATGTTAAGTTTATGCTTTCATTTGTTGTTTTCCATTGCTTTGGTTTTTCGCCCCTGCTTTTGTTTCTGAGTTTAGTTAATCTTCCCTTTCTGTTGTGATTTCTGCCCAGTTATTGGCAGAAGAGGAGAAGTTAAGGCTAGAAGAGGAGGCTGTTTTTGCAGCCCAGCGCGAAGCAGCGCGGCTCACTATGGAACAAAAGCTAAAGGAGGTGAGGCGTTCGCACTGAGCACGCCCAGCCCTTCTCTTAACCCCGCCCATTAACCTTCAGCCACACCCCTTTCGTTTATGATACGCCTTCAGCTCTGTGTAATTTATTTCTAACAAATTCTGATTTAAACAGGAATAGTTGCTTGAGTTTGTAAGTTATGGATTGTATATGTTTTTTTTTTTTTTTTTGTTAAAATTAGACTCCTCTTTGAAATGTACTTTATATATATTGTGACATGCATTGAATAGTTATAAACAGGATTGAAGGTCCTTAAAGGAGTCATATGACGTTGCTAAAAAAATAACATTATTTTGTGTATTTGGTGTAATGAAATGTTTATGCGGCTTAAGGTTAAAAAACACATTATTTTCCACATACTGTACATTATTGTTTCTCCTCTATGCCCTGCCTTTCCAAAATGTGTCCATTTTTACAAATCTCATCGGTCTGAAAAGCGAGGTGTGCTCTGATTGGCCAGCTATCCAGTGCGTTGTGATTGGCCGAATACCTCAAGCGTGTGACGGAAATGTTACGCCCCTTACCATATGATGCCGTGTCCCGGCGCGACGAGACAACCAATAAAACCCATTATAAACGAGGCATTTGTTGCATCCAGTGGGGACATAAGTAAGTACTGATTATAATGACTTATACTGTCGTTTTACGCGTTGCGTTGCATCGCGCCGCGTAAACATAAAACCATGTCTGCATTTGTGATCGGAGAAACGACAAACAACAAGCGCTATTCTACACTGCCCAAAACTCGCGTACTTATGAAAGCGTACTTACAGGCTGTGAGTCAGCATTATTTGTCAGAACACCGGAATTGTAGGCTACTCTCCCAGG